CATGGAGGGCGGGGGGCACTGACCTGGAGTGGGGAACTTGGGGGCCTCGGCGAAGCCACCGTACTCCTCATCATAGCCCTCATCCAGCTGCTGGAAGCAGCGGCTGTTCATGGTGGCGGCCGAGGGCGGCAGCTGGCGGTCCCCCGTGCTGATCTCCGAGCGGGCCAGCAGGGCTGTGGTGACGCGCTGGCTGTTTTCCAGCAGGGCGTTCTTATTTTGTTTCCACTGGGCAAGGCAGGGGCAGACCTGGAGGTCAGCTGGGGTGGGGGGGTGCCTTGCTCCCTCGCCCTTGACCCCTGCCACCACCACCCCCATCCACACCCACCTGATCCCGTATTCTCAGCAGCACCGTACGGAAGCCAACTCGGGTCAAGCCATCCTCGGGGGGGAAATAGGTGCCCCCCACAAAGGGCTGGAGGTTGGGAGTCAACCACACACTCATGGGCCAGCCCCCACCACTGCTGGTGGCCTGGCGGAGAGAGGGCAAGGGTGAGGGGAATGCCCCCTCCCCCCCCCCGTGCATGCACACCACCCCCCTCAACCCCGTGGAGAGACCACACACCTGCACGAAGGTCATATACACTTTGTCCACATCCGGCCGCTCCTCCCGGTCCACCTTGACACTGACAAAGTCTTCGTTGAGCAGGCGGCCAATCTCCTCGTTCCGGAACGACTCCTCCTCCATCATGTGGCACCAGTGGCAGGTGGAGTACCCCACTGGAAGGGGGCCGTGGGGCCACCGTGGGGACCAGTGACTGGCCGGAGGGGTGCCAGCCAAGGGGGCCCCACTGGACTGCAGAAGCCCTGGCCTCTGGTTTCTGGGAGGTCCCCTCCCCCAACCACCACACTCTGCTCCCCCCCCAGCCCCCACCCCAGGGAGGCATTACCTGAAAGAAAGATGGGCTTGTTTTCTTTCTTGGCCTTGTCGAAGGCTTCCTGTCCCCAAGGGTACCTAGGCCCGGCGGGTGGGGTGAGGCGTCACTCGATAGCCCAGGGTGGAGGAGGAGGAGGAGGAGGAGGAGGAGGATGAGGAGGAGGAAGAGGAGGGGGGGGGGGCGGAGAGCCGGCTGCCCCAGGAAGGGCGTCGGGAGAGGCACTCACCAGTCCACGGGGTTGTAGGCATGTTGCAGGAGGTACGGTGACTTCTCACTGATGAGGCGGTTGGTTACCTTCTGGGGCGAGGGCTGGGCACAGCTGGTGCGGCTGCCCTTGCCCCCAGAGGGCATGGACACCGAACTGCTGACGGACACACTGCGGTCCTTGTCCCGGGAGGAGCCACCCCTGCACGCGCAGGAGGGTCAGGCCCGGGGTCTCCCGCCACCACTCCAGAGGCCCCCTCCGCCCCACCCTGCCCTCCGGCACCCCTCCCGGAACCCCCGGCTCCCAGCCCAGCCCACCTTTCTGAACCACGGGGGAGACTGTGGCCTTTGTGCTCCCCCTTATGTTTTGGGGGGGATGAAGAAAGGTGGCTCATTGGGGGCTCCCTGCCAGGTTAGTCTCCCCCCAACTTCTTGGCCTTTAACCCCAACTTCTCGGTCTGGCGGTGGGAAGGATGGTGACTGTGAGGTCAGGGCAAGTCACAATGGGCAGAATGGTTGTTCAGGCTCCATTCTCTCCCCCTGGCCGGGCCCCCTCCCCAGGATGATGGTTCTGGAGGCATCTCCCTGGCACGCCTGGCGTGGGGTCCCGGCAGAAGGGCCGCCCGTGGCCGATGGCTGGACGGGCGGGGCGAGAGCGTTGAGTCTGGGGCTGGAACAGGTTATGGGCAATGAGAGGACAATCCAGACAGAACTCCCCGACTCAACATCCACTCACTGGGCACTTCTGCGGGGCCAGGTCCTGTACCCGTCTGCCAGGATCCCTGGTAACTCAGACACTGACCCTGACTTCAGGGGGCTCAGGCTGGGAGGGCTGTGGGGTAGCCTAGTTCATGCAGGCCTCTGCACCAATAAGAGCTGTGACAGGCCAGCCCAGGGCGCTGTAGGACAAGGACCCTGGCTTAGCATTGGGGTCCAAGGAAGGCTTCCTGGAGGAGGGGTCAGAACAGAGTCCGGGGGGCACTAGCCCTGCAGCTGGAGGGCAGGGGCTTGGAGGGGAAGAGGGCGGGAGGACACTACTGCCAGGGCCAGGCCCAGGCGCCAGCTGGGGGCTGCAGAGGGGGTAGGCGTCAGGCGTGAGGGGCTGGCCAAGCATGCAGAGTACCAGCGCCCGCCCGCCCGCCCGCCCGCCCGCCCGCCCGGGGTGCCTGGACCTGGGGCCGCAGCGGCGACCCACTCGCCCCGCCTGTACCTGCGGCTTGAGGCGAGGCAGGGTCTGGCGCGCAGCAGCAGGAGGCCACGGCACCACCACGTTCGCCTGTCCAGCATGGCCATTCCGGGTCTTGGGCCCGTGTGTGCGCTGCGGACCGGACCCGGGAGGGAGGGAGGGAGGAGGAAGGTCTGGAGGCCGCAAGGGGCGGGCCCGGGCAGCGACCTCATCGCCGGTTAGTCGCAGCCAACACTCGGGGCGGTGACTGGTCTCAGAGCGCCTCCTGGTGGCCGAGCGCGGGATTCCATACAGGACACCCTGGGATTGGGAGCACCTGGGTTTGCGCCCAAACTTGGGTGGGCTCAGCTAGACCTCAATCAGCTGTCTGAGGGAGGATCACCCTCCTGAGGAGAACATGGGGATCACGAGGATGCCAAGACCGCGGCATGTCAACCCGTGCCCATTTTACAAATGAGAAAGGAGGCCGGAGCGGAAGATCGGGTGTGTCCGGGCCCATCCAGCCAGTGAGCTTTGCCTCTGTGTCGCCTCTCCATATCGAAGCCCAGCTCAAATCGCACCCACTCCAGGAAGCCTTCCCTGACCAATAATGACGAAGCCACTTTACGTCCCACCATACACTTTACACACTTGTCTCGTTTGCTACCCCGCCTACCAGACACTCTGCTAGTTACAGCCATAGCAGAGAGAGACCAGGCCCCTGCCCTTGTGTTGTGCAGTCTGATGAGGGAGGTAGAAGCTGATCTGAAAGCCATACAAATGAAGGGACAGCCACCCACCGCGAGAAGGACCATGACTAAGAATAACAAGGAACCTGGTCTGGGGGGAGAGGCAAGGGGGGAAGGCGTCCCTGAGGAAATCGTGTTTGTGTAGCAGCCACCAAAGAACAAGAGGGTGCAATCTGCAGATTACTGGGGAAGCAGGAAGAGGAGATATGCAAAGGGCCTGGGGCAGGGCAGTGTGAGTCACGGCTGAGGAACTATAGGAGGCCAGCCTGGCAGCGGTCCAGAGCACAGGGAAGAGGGGCGGTAGATGAGATTGAGGTTCCGGGGAGGGGAGTGGAGGGCCCAAGTCTTTTCGGGACTCCTGAGCTGGGAGAGGGGATTTTGTGGTTGAGGGAAGCAGAAGAAAGCTGCTGAAGGGCCTTGTGGAAAGCTCCCTCTGACTTCCCAAGGAGGAATGGCCTGGAAGGGGGCAGGAGAAGCAGCAGGAGAGGCTAGGAGGCCCGAGCAGGCCCAGAGGAGAGGGTGGAGGGCTGCAGAGGTGGAGGTGGAGACGGAAGGGGATGTCAGGAGTGCTTTGCAGAGCGGGGCTTGTGCTGGGTCCGTGTGCTGAGGAGGCGGTCCAGGGAGAGGCTTCGGTGGGGATTGCTGAGGTCAGTTCTGCACATGTTGGCTTGAGGTGCCTTTGAGACGTACAGGTGGACATGACAAGGCTCCGGATTGCAGAGGAGAGGGGGTGGGAGAGAGGAATCTGGGTGTTCGGCGTGGAAACGATGCAGGCACAGGAGAGATCATCTGGCAGGCTGTGGTGAGAGAAGGGAAGCGGGCTTGGGCCTGGCCAGGGAACTCAGGAGTGCATCCAGAAACGACAAGAGGAAATGGCCACAATGTCAAGGGCAAACCAGGACAGGGTGGCACCCCAGAAGCAATGGGACAGAGTTGCAAGGAGAGGGGTTCCAGGTGGTCAGACTCCAGAGAAGCCAACTGGGATGGGACACAAAAAGGTCCACTGGCTTTAACAACATGGCCATTGGCAGGCCTGGCCGATGCTGCTCCAGTGAGGTGAGGCTAACAGCAGAGGCTGGCAGAGTGGGTGAGGGGGCAGGGAAAAGGAAGGGGATGCAGAGAGTATGGACATGTGATGGGAAAGACACCTTCAAGATGGATGAGGCTACTTATGACCAATGCCAAGGGCAAGGATTCGCTTTAGAGAAGGCAGCTGATGATACGGAGGAGAAGAATCTCTGGAATGACAACAGGGTTGGCAAGCCGGAGAGTCTCATGGGTGCTCCCTGGGAGACATGAGGGCAAGGTCAGAGAACAGGGAGCCTGCCGTGACTGTGGAAGAACCCGGGGTGACATCCACCTCCAAGGTGTGACCACTGGTGAGGGTTGCTGAGATGTCATGGAGATGCAAGGTCATCCTCTTGGACAATAGAGTCACCAGGGATTTAGCAAGACCTGGGTGATAGAAGGCTGTGAGGCAAGACTGAAGCATGGCAAGAATGAGGTGGGACGCGGCCCTTGGAGTGGTGGTGGGAGGAGGCAGGGACAGCCCAGTGTTCCCAAGCTTCAAGGAAGGAGGGGTCTTCCAGGAGGAAGATGGTCTGGAAGTAGCTATGGGGAGCAAGGGTCCCCACCTCTTCTTTGTGGGAATCGAAACAGCACCCCTGGGGAGAGAGGGTCAGGGAAGCAGTGTTCTCGAGATAGCCAGTTGAAAAGAGCCTGAGTAGGGGAGGGGTGAAGGGTGATCAGTGACCAAGGATGGAGACCACCTGTGTGTGTGTGTGTGTGTGTGTGTGTGTGTGAGGGGGGGGGGCACAAGACAGATGGGGGCTGGATTCGCACTGCCTGGCAAACCAGGAATGAGGGGGATGGCAGGTTAATCTGCCTGGTTAGTCTCTGAAGAGGGTGAACCCCGGGCCACATGGACGGCCTGGGAGGAGCCACCTAGCGACCTCATTAGGAAGGAACTCTTGTTCCCATGTGACAAGGAAACGGAGGCAGAGGCAGAGAGGTTACGCACTTTACTCGAGGCCAGGGAGCATAACCACTTATTACCGAGTGATTATGGTGTTAGTGTCACTGTGTGCAAATCTCGGAGCAGAGCTTTGAACTCCTGTCAGTCTGACTCCTACGTAGGTGCTCTTGTCCAGGCTGCCTGTCACAGCCAGGGTGGGACTCCCTGCTCCACAGAGCGCAGCCTTCGGGAGGAGAGCAGCACTGTGTGCCTCCCGAAACCCCAGCTTTGGCGTTTCCAGCCAGGGGAAGGCTATTTTCTCCCTGCCCCCCAAAGGGGGGGCCAGGCCCTGAGCACTAAGGACGCCTCAGTGCCTGGTGGTCCAGTGGTTGGAGAGCATTGAGTAGAAAAGGAAGGAGGGTGACCAGGGTGCTCCCCAGGATGAGGCAACACCCCCCCCCATCCCCCGCCTTGGTTTCCCAGATCCCACATAAGCCTCAGGCTCCGTCTGCACGGCTGAGATGGAGTTCATCGCCAGCCCCGCGAAAGGGAGGGTGGGGGGGAGCGCCAGATTGAAGGTGACTCAGTGAAGCCCAGGAGCTGGGGGCCCCTGTACCTGGCTCGCCTGCCCCCCGCTGGGTTCGGAGCTCGGGGAGGCTGTGGGCTTGGTGTGATGCTTCGTGGTTTCTTCACAGTCAAGCCAGCACTTGGTTCGAGACAGTCGGTCAATATTTCCCAATTAAACCCGCTGTGCGGCCTGGGACCTCCAAGCCAGTGGAGCCGAACTGTCTGACGCGGAGTCCCAGCCCCGCTCTGTGCTAGCATTGTGACATTGAGCCTCAGTCTCCTCCTCTGTAAAATGGGTTTTGCACTTGGCTTAATGCTCTGCTGTCCGCATTTTGACATTCTTAATCGTGTTCTGAGCAAGGGGCCCTGCGTTTCCCTTTTGGGCTGGGCCCCACAAGTCACGGAGCTAGCTCTGAAGGGGAGTCACGTTACCTACTCCAGAGGGCGGTGGCAGGAATTAAAGGAAGTAACCTGTCTAAAGTGCTTAGCACGTGGGTGTGTAATACATGGGTTCCTGGCTATTCCATCACCCCAACGCCTGTGTGTGACCAATGAATGAAGATGGTCCAGTGAGGGAGCGCTGAGGGAGCTCCATCTGGGAGCCAACGTGCCAGGCGGAGGGGGCTGTGCGGGGCGGGGGAGCGTGTTTGAGCCCCACGTTGTGGAGCGATTCCCACAGCAGCCGGGGATGTGCGGTGTGGTCCAGACCGGGCCGCCACGTCCCGCAGAGAGTCCGCGTGGTGAGAGCCGAGACCCTGGGGTCCAGTCTTTATTGCAGGACGTGGTCTCGGCCCGAGCAGTCTTCAGTCTCTAGCTCCAGGACCTCCCAGGACCTCCGGGGTGCCCTAGCCTTGGGGTGGAGTCTTGGCCGGTCCGGGCTTCCCCAGCAGATCCTAGCCTGGCCCCAAAATCTGGGGAGCAGGTCGGCGGTCCGGTGCTCAGAGGAAGGGGTTGGTGCCGGCCTGCGGGGCGGGGACCGGGAGGAGCGGCCCTGCCGAGTCCAACGCGGGCAGCAGCGGGGGCGGCAGGCTGGCGGGCGGCGGCGTGAAAGCCCCGGCCCGCGGGAAGACGCTGACGGAGGCGGGGAGGGTCACCCCGGCCGGCACGCTGCTGAGGGGGAGCGGCAGGGAGGTGCTGTAGGTCATGGAGCTCAAGGGCGCCCCCAAGGGCCTGCCGGCCGCCAGGCCCAGTGCCGGCGACCCGGTGCGCATCTGGTTCAGGGTTGGCCTGCCCGGCTCGCCTGCACCAAATGGGTTGGTGGGGGATGGAGCGCTGAGATCTGCAGAACGAGAGGGGAAGGGGGGGATTGGGGTGGGGTCGGGGTACAGCACTAAAATAGGAGGGGGCCAAGATCTAGGGTTTTAGAAATAAGGAAGAAGAGTGAGATTCCAGGGCAAGGGCTGGGCTCTGAAAGGAGGGGCGCAGGGGTGCCGTACCTGTCAGGAAGGGGTTCCGGGTCTTTGCAGCCTGGGGTGTCTTGACTAAGGAGTCAAGGTTGACCAACGAGGAGGCTGAGGGGCCCAGGAAGGACTCCGGTGTGCGAGCTCGGGCCTCCTTGCTGGGCTGGGTGAGGGCTTCCCCCACGATGCCTAGGTCAAAGGCATCTGGCTCCTTGGTGCCATTCTGCTTGGAACTGGGGATGGGGTCTCCAAACAGGTCCAGCTCTGGAATGCAAATGGCCAAGAGAGGGGCTGTTCACTCTGCAGGAGGAAGAGGGCAGCGGCCAGCTCTGGGCAGGCCCCTCAGTCCCCAGAGCTGTGTCACCCCCCTGCCTCCTGCTTACCCACGGGACTGCTGGGTTTCCCCGAGGGCAAGGCCTGGGCACCCTCCAGCCCCTCCTTGGTCTCTGTGGATCCTGGAGGTTTGGCAAATGGGTCAAAGGCCGAGGTGCCACCTAGAGCTAGCCCAGAAGGGAAAGGGAGATGAGATGGGTTGGCAAAAGGAGCAGGCACTAGACTGACCTCTTTCCAGGCAATCACCCCTCCTAATGGACAGGACCTGCTGCCCAGTGCGTGGCCCTGGAGAGCAGGGGACCCAGACGTCCTCCAGCCCCTCACCGTGCCCTCTGGCCCTTCACTTACCAGGTGTGCTGGGCGCTTCCACCAAGGCCCCCCAGGGGTCAGCCCCAGTGTTGGGGGGCTTGCTGGGGGAGGAGTTCTGTGTCCAGGGGTCGGTAGTGGGGGCTCCAGCAGGCAGCACTGGGGTCCGGCCCCAGGGCTCAGAGGAGGACAGCGTAGGGGGCAGGTCCCAGGGCTGGCTGCGGGACAGGACGCTTCCCGCGGGGGCCGGAGACCAGGGGTCCGCCGAAGGCCCCCAGGAGGAGCCGCTGGGCTCTGGGTTGGACCTGAGACCTGAAATGGGAACAGCACAGACGTGATCCCAGGCTCCCCCTGGGCCTTCCCGGTCACCCGGTCCAAGTTTTGAGGCTAAGGGATCCATTTCATAGATTCGGGGTGCTGACTCAGAACCACCCAGCAAGCTGGAGCCCAAATCTAGTAAGCTATCCCAGGCGCCTGGACTCGGGGGCAGCTCAGGCCACATCCCAGTCAGGGTCTGGCTGGGACAGGAAGCCAGGGTCACGGGCAACAAGAGCACATTTCTGGGATCATGTCCCGGGATCTGGGTTCTTCTGATGTGCTCCCCCTTCCTCGCTATGACACCATGCCAGAGAGGAAGCTGAGGCTCAGAGACAGAGGTGGCTTGCCCCGGGGGCCCTCAGCTGTGGGAAAGGGGGTCCCAGGAAGGAAGGGGTTCTCTGGGGCCAGCCCGCATGCCTACCTGGGATGTCCCACGGGTCGGCGGAGCAGTGTGTGGAAGGCGGGGCAGGGGTGGGCGCGAAGATGTCCGCCAAGTCCAGGATGGAGGACTGTGGAGAGGAGAGGCGGCCGTGGCTCAGAGGAGGGCGGGCCCACAGGAGGGCAGGCCCGACCTGCCTTTCAGACTCCAGCTCCTCCTCTCCATCCGTTCCGTAAACACCTTGCAAGGACCCCTCGGCCCTGCTCAGTGCTGCTCGGTTCGTTTCCTCATCCATTTGGTGCCTGGCTTTCCCAACAACCTCGTGCAATAGGCACGGGAGGTGGTGCTGTGCCCATTTCACAGATGAGCTGGCTGAGTCCCAGAGAGAGGGAACAATCTGCCTGAAGTCACACAGCCAGGGAGAGACAGAGCTGGGCTAGAACCCAGGCCTGTCTGACCCTTCCTCAACTGTTCTGCTTGCTCCTCAGCCCATCAGTGGTAGGACTGGTCACATGACTAGCTTACCCCCCCTAAGTGTCCGAGAGGAACTGGCCACAGTGAGCACGCAGAGCCAGCAGAAAAGGGGCAGAGACACCCCGGGGGTAGCTTCGGAGGGTGGCCTTGTCTCCAGCAGCTACCCACTTCCTCCTCTTGAAAAACATGCCCATGAGCCCGTATGCCTGAGTCCACCCCCAGTCTTGATCCACACCTCACATCATCCTAGCCTGTCAGAGCTGGAACTATCCAACAAGCCCACTATATAGAGGGGGAAACTGAGGCCAAGACAACAACGTGCCCCAGCCAACAAATCCAGAACCCAGCTCAGGGTCTCTGGTCAGGGTGCTTTGCATCCCTTTGCCAACAGCGTGGTCACCAGCCTATGCAGTATGGGACCTGACCCGGGACTGCAGCACCCCCTCCGCCCCCATTTCACTGAATAAACACTTAGGTAGTGCTTACTGTCTACCCAGCACGGTTCTGTACTCTTGGCAGATATGAACTCCGTTTATCTCCCAGGCTCTTGCCAGCCCACGCCCCCAGCATCCTCCCTACCTGGCTGGTTTTCAGCTTCTCTTCCTCCTTCTTCTCTTCTCTCTCGGGCTCTCTTTCCCTCCGACGGTGGGCTGCAGCCCCGGCGCCATTGGCCATGGGGGAGTCCTCTGCCCGCCAGGACCTCACCTCCTGCAGAAGGCACAGAAGGAGTGAGGAGGGCGCGGGCAGCCCGGGCTGGACGTGAGGGGACCTGAGCTGCGAGGAGAAAAGTGCAGGATGGGAGGCAGCTGAGAGGTTAGCACCGCGGACCACCAGGTGAAGCGGGAGGAGCCTGGTTAGTGCCCCTAAGCACCTCCACCAGCACCGGCACCAGCACAGGAGGCTCCGCCACTACCTTCTGGTGCTCCTGCCGGCTCAGGCGAAGGGCCAGCTGCAGCTGCAGGTCCTCGTCCCTGAGGGAGGTTGGGGGGACTGGCTGCCGGGGAGGAAGAAGAAGGTGAACTTGGCCCAGCCCTCCCACTCCTGGGCCCAAAGGTGACGGAGCTCCGCCCAGGGCAGGGGACGGAGAGAGACGCCCACCCCGGGCCGCGATGTGATGTGGCCTTCCCCACGTGGAGAAAGCTCAGTCTCCTGAGTCTCCGTGGGCCCTGCTCCTGCCTGGTCTACCTGGACCCACAGAGGTGACGGCAGAGAGGAAGGGGGCATGGGGGCTGTCCCTGTCCCCCAAAGGGTAGCTGATGGCGGGGGTAGTGGTGGTGGTAGCATGTCTCTGTGTCTCCCGGGAATGTGTGTGTCAGCAAACACACCCCTCCCTCTCTATGAGGCGGCCAGCCGCAGGCACGTGCCACACTCACCTACTCCCAGCCCATGACACACTCACTATCCTTCCCAGGCCCAGCCAGAGGGGACTGGGAGCTGGACGGTGGCCCTGCAGGGACAATCCCAGGGACAGACGGGCCCCACACTGTCCTTGGGAGCAGGACGAGCGCTTTGGGGCCGAGAGTAGGGTAGCCCAAGAGCCAGAGTGTGGGGATGCAGGCACCTCTCCTTCCTCCTCCAGCTCCCTCCCCATGCCACCCTCAGCCCAGCTGTGGGGCCCTCTGGGCCGCCCGGGAGGGGCCTCACCTTCTCTGCCTCCTCGCGGCTCATGGCCAGAGCCAACTGCAGCTGCAGCTCCTCCTCTCCCGACGTCTGGGGCCGCGCCTGCTCCAGGTCTGAGGTGTAGCGGGGGGATGAGGAGGAAGCTGCAATGACCGTCATGGCTTCTGTGACCACACAGGTGCCCGTGGGCTCCCACACCCCTTTCCCTCCAGAGAGGAAGGCTCAGAGAGGGACATGGGGGAGAGAGAAGAGCAGGCATCCCAGGGCCCCAGGGGGCCAGGCCGTGTGCTTGGCCCTTTCTGTAAGGTTTCCTACCCAGCCCATAAAGATTCCAGTTCCTCCTCTACAGACCCCCAGCAGCTCTGACCCTCCCCCAGGAGGTCAGAGTTCTGCAGCAAGACTTGAACCCAGGTCCACCGACTCATCCAGTTGGGCCCCATCCAGCCTGAGGTCAAGTGCGGTGCGGGGGTGAGATGCTCCAACCAAGGTCACAGCTGTCAGAGCCCACAGCGTAAAGCCGGGGGCTTTATGGAAGGAGGGCCTCTCTGAGTAAATCTCAGACCAGGGAAACCCCCACCAGGAGGCAGAGGAGGGTCAGGAGCCGCGCATCAGCCACCCCCATTTTCAAGGACAGGGCCCTTGAGTTGGGGGGTGGAGGTGATGGGAAATGCTACCGATGGAGTATGGGGTGCCATGTGTCTGGGTGAAGGGCTGAGGGCTTTCCTGGGCCTGGTCTCATTCGTTCTCGAATTCCAACCATTAAGGTAGCTAAGATGACCCCTATTTGATGGACGAGGTCGCTGAGGTTCAGAGAGCTTGTTGTCCAGACCGCACAGCCTGGATGGGGCAGGGGGAGGGATGCTCCCGGACCCCACACCTGTCCTACCAGACAGCGAGCCAGCAACAATAACAGATGCATACGGATGTTACTGTCTACCCTAGCTTGCTGAGCACATACTATTTTCAACGCATTTGGCCTCACACTTGACTCTCCTTATCTCACCAAATCCTCACGACATCCCTCTGCCGTCCTAGGGCCAGGACGGGAACTCAGACACCTCTCTGTCCCCAGCCGTGCACCCAAGGCCCACTCACAATTGTAGGAGGACGGGGAGCCCCGGGCGCGGCCGAAGTCCTCGCCCTGGCGGCGGCTGAAGCCCAGCTGCCCGCTGCCCAGGGCCATGCCCTCCAGCGCCATGCGCTCCTTGGTCTTGAGGGCGTGGGTCCGCTCCTGCCGCAGGCGCTCCTCGTCCTTGAGCAGCGCCATCACCTGCTTGACCTTCTCGCGCACGTTCACGCCCTGGTCCTTGCCGTCGCGGTCGACGTACTGGAAGTCCTTCAGCGTCTGGATGGTGAAGAGGTTCTCCCGGCACTGGTGAGCCACCCGCTCCGAGCCCGTCTTCAGCAGGTAGTCCAGCAGCGTCAGCGCCTTGTACACGTGCCGCCAGTTCTTGCCGCTGTCGTTGAGCCGCCGCCACAGCATGCCCATGACCTCGGCGAAGGCCACCGTGTTGAAGGTCAGGTCGGCGATCTCGGACATGAGCGAGCTGGGCGGGCCCCAGGGGTCATTGCTGGTGGCCTCGCGCACCTTGATCTCCGCCTCCGAGTAGTTGTGCACGATGTTCTTCACCTGGCGCCGCAGCGCCGAGGTCGTCATGGCTGGGGACGTGGAGAGGGGCGCCCCCCGCCCCAGCCGGGGGTGGAGGGCCGATGGCCACCGCCGTCGCGAGGTCACGGTTTCCGGGGAGGGGCCGCCGTGCGCTCAGCAGGGCGGCTGCGTCCTTGGGTTCCACATGGGTCTGAGGAAGAAGAGAGGGTTGGCAGCTTGGGGGCGGTGGCCCGCCCCGCTGGCCGCGCAGTCACCCCCTGAGGGCCTGTGCAGGGTGACCCCGCAGCCAGGAACAGCCTTCAGCGGGCATTTGTTATGTTTCCTTTCAATACTTTATTGATTTTTTTTTTTTTTTTTTTTTTTTTTTTTTTTTTTTTTTTTACAGAGAGGGAGGGAGAAGGAGAGTTAGAAACACTGATGAGAGAGAAAGATCCATCAGCTGCCTCCTGCACAACCCCCACAACCAAGGCACATGCCCTTGACCGGAACCGAACTTGGGACCCTTGAGTCCGCAGGCCGATGCTCTATCCACTGAGCCAAACTGGTTAGGGCATGTTTCTTATTTTAGTTATGATTTAGCAGGCACTTCTAGCTTTGCATGCACATTTCTCTTCACCCCCACACTACAAGATGCTATTATTGTTATTATCTCCATTCACAGAGGGGAGAAATGAGGCTTCCAGCGAATTAATTGACTTGTCCAAGATCACAGAGCTCATAAGTGGGGAGTTAGGACAAAGCCCGGCAGACACACCCCAGTCCTTACCCTTCCTGGGGGACATGACAAGGACCCCCCAGGAATGCCTACTCGCCTAGCTTCTGCTTGGGTCCCTCTTCCCCTTCCTGCCAGGATCTAGCTTAAGACCTATCCTTCCCAACTTCTCCGTCCTCACTCTTCTCTCCTCGTACTGTTAATTTTGTAGCTGGATTCATTTAATACTCTTTCCTGGGGCCTTCGGAGCCAGACACAGGGTGCACCTAAGCCCAATGGAGAGGCTACAGACAATCACAGCCCAGCGTGGGAGCGCAGAGGAGCACAGGGAAATCAGGGGAGACTCCCCAGAGGAGGTGACAGTTAGCTGAGACCAGAGATCTGAAGCCAAGGAGAGGAAGAGGGAGCCAGCAAGGTGGGCTTGGGGGAGGGGCGGCTCAGAGGGAATACCGTGAGCCGGGCCACTGAGGGCGGAAGGAGCATTGGGAGAGGCTGCCTCTCAGAGGGTTTAGCTGCCGCCACCCACACTGTGCACACAAGAGCACGGAGGCCAGAGCGGGGCCGTGGCCTGCCCACAGCCACACAGCATGTGGGTGGCAGCTGCGGGCACCGAGGCCTCCAGAAGTCTACTCCAGTGTTTACCGTCAGTGTCACCACTTTCGTAATTAACTCGGAGGATTGCTCCACTGTCTCCGCCCCACCTTCTCAGCCAGAGAGGAAGCTCTCTGAGGTCAAGGCCAGTCTGGGCTCCCCAGGGCCCAGGGCCCAGGGCCCAGGGCAGAACGCTGATACCCCAGCCGCAGGGGGATCAGGGCCACCCTGTGCCCTCCCCGCAGCCACGGGGCCAGGCCATGTGCTGAGAGCAAGCCCAGGCCCAAGTCAGACAAATGTTCTCCCACGGCCCTGCCAGAAACCCAAACCAGGGTCCTCCTGACATCACCATACTCTGTACGTGTACACACGGGCATGGGCACACACACACACACACACACACACACACACACACTCGCTGCCTGGACCTGCAGAGCCTCCACTTCACCAATGAACCCCCACCGATACCAGCACCCACAGAGCTGCACCTCTCAGCTCTGCCTTGGGACTCAGAAGGAGTTTATTCTACAACACACACACACACACACACCCCCCGCCTCACCCCTAAATTCAGTTCTCCCTCCACCCAGTCCTGCCAACACTGGGCTCCTTTCAAAGGGGCCCACAGGCCTCCGTAGTTTTCTCCAGGGCCCAGGGGCCTGGGAGAGCCTCACCCAAACGCCGCGGGGTCCCGTGGGGGACCCGGAGGGATGGGGAGCGCTCCCTGGAAGCACTGCCTACCTCTGTCCGCTGTCTTTCTGTCCCGCCGGCCTTCTGAGGGGATGCCGCCGGCCAGCACTTGTTTAACTCCCGCCCTCCCCCTCACTGGTGACTCAGACCCGTCTTTACCTCTCTACCCGGTGGGCTGGCAGGTGGCAAGAGCCAAGATGAGAAATAATTGTGCCCCAGAGCCCGCCCTGAGTGCGTGCCCCTCCCGGAGCTGGCCGCTGAAACCAGCAGAACCAGTCAGGCATCCTGGCTCCAGTGGGAGCTCTGCCTGGCCCTCCGGCCGCCTGGGGTGGTGGGAGGGGCCCTCAGGGTGGGCCCTGCAGCCCTGCCTGGGCTTTTCTCCGGGGAGGTGGGCACGGAGGGGCCCTCTCTGCCCGAGCTGGGGGGAGGGAGGGCTGGAAACACCTGCAGGCCGAGGCAGCCAGGTAGGGAGGCAGAAGGGGGCAGGGTGAGGCCCGGGAGCGCCGAGGGGAGGGCGGAGGAGAGGAAGGAACGCGGGAGGGAGCGGCCGGGAGCGCTGCCAGCGGTGTTACAAGCAAAGAGTTTTATCGAACACAATATGCCCAGAAATAAAAGGGAGTGAAACAGAAACCCAGCAGCCGATAAGGCAGCGGCGGCGGCGGCAGTGGCGGCCGGCAGCCCGGTGTGGAATTACTGCAGTGACCTTGAGCCAGACCCTGTCAGGTGGAGGGAAGGACAGAGAAGGCCGAGCCTGAGAGGCCAATTCAGAGACAGGGGAGAGGGCAGGAGGGGCAGGAGGGCAGGGGAGGAGGGAGAAATCCACTAGGCGGGGGTCAGGGGGCACCAAGGGCCAGCAGGGGGTGGGACCAGCGTGGGGAAGGGGGCAGGTGTCACCTATAGTAGGGTCCCAAGGAGAATGTTATAGTGGGGAGGGGGCTGCTGTTCCCAAGGCCCAGAGGACTGGGGGACCTGTCAGGACTGGGGAGCCGGTGGTATCTCCAGAGTAAGGGTTCAGGGAGATGGAAAGAACCCAGAAGTCTAGAGTTTTTCCAAAGTCTGTGGTGCCCCACCAGGGCACACCCCCTCCCTCCTCTGCTCAGGCAGACTCTGGCCCCTGCCCCCATCAGCTCCAGCGGGCGCAGTGGGGGAGTGGCAGTGCCCTAACTCTTGCTGCTGGAGGGACAGGGGAGTGCCCTCTGGCTCTAAGCTTAGGTCCTGGGGGCACTGGAGTTGGGTAGAGGATGCCCTGAGCCTGAAGGTGCATCCGGGCTGAGGAGAAGGGGTTGGTGGAGAGGAGCAGGAATCTCTGGGGAATGCCACCAAAGATGCTAGTTCCAGGATGGGGTGCAAGCCCCCCCCCCCCCCTGGCACCCAGCCTCCTTCCTGGGGCAGCAGGGAGAGAGGGGCTGCAGGCAGGAGAGCCACTAGAGGCCGGCTCCACCGCCCTGCCCTCCTCACCCCTTTCCCGCAACCTGGGAAGGAGATTAAGCCCTGAGCCTCCCATGAGGGCACCCCGTAGCCAGGGAGGGGCCGCTTACCTCTGGTGCTGGCTCCGCGGGTCCCCGCCCCAGGACCACAAGCAGCCTCTGCAGTGACCCTCCGAGCTGCAGGGCGGGGGGACGGCACGGCTTCAGGGGCGCCCCCAGAGCCATCCACCACGGACCCTCGTCCCGGAACCCCACCCTCTCCCAGGAGGCGCAGAGCCCTCGGAAGGGCAGGGCGCGGCAGGGTCCCCAGGATGGGCTGAGCTCTGCCCCTGGTCCGCTGGTCTCCTGGGCGCCCGGCCGGCCGGGAGGAAAGTTGCTCGGCTGGCCGGGCAGGTCTGCCTCAGCAGTAACAGGACACAGGAGGCAGCGCAGGCAGGCGGGTTAACCCCTTCCTGCTGGCCAGGCGGCAGCACCTTCCGAGGGGGTGGGAGGCGGGAGGCTTGCCTGCTCCAGTGCGGGAGGTGCTGGTGCCCGCGGCCCACTCCCACCCTGCAGCGAGTTAACCCTTCCCCTGCCTTCTCAACAGGAGAGGCCGGGAGGCCCCAACCCCGGCCCCTCCTCAGAAGGTCCTTTCCCCTGGGCTGGCATCTTTGTAGTTAATGCCCTCTGAACCCCCCCCCCCCCCCGCTGGCCCTCTTGGCCATGCTGGCATGGGCACCGGGACTCCAGGCACAGCCCCTTCTCTGCCTCGACTACAGGAAGTGTTCTGCTCTCTCCGAACCTCCTCCTCTGCCTCAACGGAAGGATGCTCGAGGCCCGAGGCCCACGAGGTCCTTCCTTACCAGCAGCGCCAAATGCAAAACCAAGCGGGGGTAGGGGGACTGTAGCCGCCCCCTGGGTCTCCCACTCCCACCGCTGCTCCGTGGGCACTTCAGGCAACAAGCCCACCGTGAGCATCATCGTTTTTCTTTTTAATTTCCTTTTTATATAGTTCATTGATTTTCTACAGAGAGGAAGGGAGATAGTTAGAAACATCGATGAGAGAGAAACATCGACCAGCTGCCTCCTGCACCACCCCCAACTGGGGATGTGCCCACAACCAAAGTACATGCCCCTGACAGGAATTGAACCCAGGACCCTTCAGTCCGCAGGCCAACGCTCCATCCACTGAGCCAAACTGGCTTCAGCGCAACGTCGTTTTTCAAACCCGGGGAGCCTGGTGCCCACTTCACACAGGCAGCCTGGCCGGAGAGCAAGGACGGCCCTGAGCCCGAGCTAGCAGCACCTTTCTTCCCGAGAGCCAGCTCTCCCACCGCACACTTCCCTGAGCGGGGGTAAAGCCCAGAGGCTGGTTTCAAGGCAGAAAAGTGGCTCAAGGAGGCCAGAGGCTCCAGCAGGTGCCAGCTTTCCTCCCCGTAGGACCACACCCTGAAATCCAGAGCAGTCACCTCTGGCTGGGGACAGAGGGATCCAGCCTCTAATGAAGAGTGTGGTGGGCATGACCTCAGACACCAGGGCAGGGCCCCTGGCCCCGGCTGAAACTTGGACCCAGGGCGTCTAGTTCTCCTAGTCTCAGCCGTTGTCATACTTGGTGATGACACTTGGGGAAGACCTGGCCCCGGGAAGCACTACCCCAAACGTGTGGGGCAAGGAAGGCCGGGGGCAGCAACTGGGAGGGGTGATGCTATCTGTCCTCCCCTCCGCTCCATCCCTCGTCCTGCTACCAACCTGCCCGAGGTTCAGCCGCCCACATCCCACCTCCCCAGGTGCGTTTCTCTCTCTCTGCCTGCTGGACGACTCCAGGAACTGAGGCAGGATGGGTTGGGATAGACCTGACGGCAGATGGGACCTGGGAGGACCTGTGCCAGGAACTGATCTCATCAAGAGGCAGCATTCAAGACAGGAAGCCTGGTGGAAGTGGTAGAAACTGAAAGGTTCTTTATTGATTTGCTTGGTAACCAGTCGCCCGGAAGGCTGCTCGGGCGTATGTGTCAAGTGCAAGGACGCACATGCTCCTCAGCGTCCCTTTGGGGGTTGAGCTCATCGGCCAGAACCATGAGGTTCGTCACCATGGCGTCCAGCAGCCCATAGACCTGGAAGAACAGGACAAACGTCACAGGCAACGGCTTGCTCTGTGGGAAACACCTCCACGAGGGAGCACCCCCTGTGCCCTGAGGGTGGGCGTGCTCACTCCACACGGACAACAGCTAGAGAGGGGACAAGACCAAAGCGGTGAGATTGTCTGCAGAACTTTTGTTTCTGCAGATCATTGCATTTTTCAAACCAGTCTGGGCCCTGGCACGTAGGGGGACATTGGGGCCCAGAATGGTGAAGGGGGCAATTCTTGGGGTCCAGGAAGCAGTGCCCGTTTACTCCCTGGGGGTGGCCCTATCCTACTCTGGCCTCACAGGCGCCAGCTGTCCTTCCTGTAAGATCACAGGCTCACAGCCTGAAATGCTTCCAGAACTGTTCCCTGAGTGGGGCTAGACCACACACACGCCTCAGCAAGATGACTCTTGATTTCAGAAAGCCGAGGGAGTCCACCGCACGGGTCCTCAGAGACCTAAGATAACTCGCCCCCATCGGCCTTCAGACGTCTCAGGGATATCGCCAGCAGCAGATGGAGCTTCTGATCAAATGAGGTCCAGGGTGTCCCCACAGTGCAGACGTACTCCCAGCCACCCAGCTATCCACCCCGGAGGAAGACAAAGCCTTGTCATTAGACGGGCAGATTGAACGTGGCTTTGTGGAATCCCCCGGCAAACGGCAACCGGAACTGCGAACCCAACGCAACACACGATGAGTTTCTCAGGACCTGCTGCTTAAGGATGCGTTGCCGTGAGGTCTCTCTGGTGTTTCAAAGCCCTGATGCTCGCTGGAAAGCCTCTCTGCATGGTGTTCCCCGCAGGGACACGCCGGCCGGGATGCCCTCGGACGCACTGGGTCTGCCTCCCAAAGTCAGACCGCATCACTCTTCTGTTCAAATCCCCGTCTGGTCTCTCGTTTCGCTCAGTCCCCACACAGCCTACAAAGCCCCGCATGACCTGCCCCCTCTTGGTGGCCCCTCTGCCCTCTGTCTTCCTGGCTCCTCCCTCCCCTGGCATTCGTTGCTTCCTCTCCCTAGGGCACTGCTCCTCAGGGGTCCACAGGGCCACCTCACCTCCCTTCAAGTCTGTTCGTTGTCACCTTTCCAATGACCCTCCCTCCCCACCTTCGTCATCCCCCCCCCGGCTCTGGTCTGTTTCTCTCTTACGCCTCATCGCCATACCAGATGTTCCTTATTCACACAGAGGATGATGCCCCTCACAAGGGCAGTGCTGCGTCCACCGTGGATGCAGGAGGCACTTACTGTTTGTAGGGCGAACGGGATGGATGAGGGGGCGGAAGGAAGCGCACAGCACAGGTGTGAGGGAGAGGAGGGCTGAGCCCGGGGCTGAGGCCTCACCTCCATGTGCATCCTCTGGGTGTATTTCTCCATGACCAGGGGGTCGATGGGCTCCTGAGAGGTGATGGTGATGTCGGGGACAGCGTCTTCCACGTAAAGCCTGTCCCGACTTGAAGATTTCGCAAGTTTCTTGTCGTCCCTTGCCTTTAGCTTCTTGCTGTTCAAACGGTCCTGCTTGGAGAGAGGAGGCACGCATGGCCTTCGCTAGCTCCTGAGGGCAGTCTGGGGCCTTCTCAGCACAGCTCACCTGGAGATTCCCACGTCACCCCAGCCCCGCCCAGGCCCGGCCCCACCCCAGAGCATGCCTCTTTGCCTAGCAGCTTGGCTTTTTTCTCTTCTTTATCTTTGATTCCCTGCTGCTTCCTCTCCAGGGCTGTCGCTTTCCGGTCCTCCTTCCCAGCTCTGCTGGGAGCCACCTTCGTCTCTATGACGGAGGGCGTTTTTCGTCCTGAGGGAGGCGAGGGGAAGACGGTGTGGACGGTGACCTCGCTGCACCCATGGGCGGGAGTCAGGAAAAGCCAAGTGCTCTCAGCAGCCCCGAGAGGATTCTCACGGACGAGGAGCAGAGCCCTGGGTGGAGGGGCGGGTGGATGGCCCTGTGGAACAGGACTGTGGGGCAGGGGCAAGGAGCCTGCTTCTAGTCCCAGCTCTGCCACTCCCCCCTGTAAGGCACAGGCAAACCCTTTAATCCTCCTGAGACCCCATCTGCAAAATGGGGGAACGTGCACCCAGGTGGTACTAAGGTCCCTCCCGGATTCCAAACCTTGGCAACAGATAAAAGAGTAGCAGGGGCCTACTCCATGGGTCAACAGAGGTCCCCAGAGGGTGTGCACGGCAGAGGTGAGGGGGTGGAAAGACTGCGTGCTCGGCAGGCTGCGCCGAGTCTGACCTTGCTCTTCCGGCAGGTCCACATAGGTGGTCTCCTTCTCAGGCAGGCCCAGCACAGCCCTCAGCCACAGGGAGTGGCTCACCAGGCTGTCAATCAGGTCCCGCCACAGCTGGAAACTAGAGGACAAGACACACTGGAGACAAGCCATCACCCTTTGCCCTGGAACCTGTAGAGACCCTGGTGCCAGGAGCTGCGGGGGACATGCCAGGTCCCCGTCCGGCCATCATCCTCGCCAGCGCCCGGGCAAGCGTTGGAAACCATGGCTGGACCTTGCGCGAGATTCCCAGCTGCAGGGATGTGGTCTGAGGGACTCGCCAAAACCCCTCCCCCCAGCCTCTCCACACAGGGACAGGGAGGCCGGTCACCGAGAAGTGAGGCTTTCTGCAGAACACGCCCCTCCTCTCACCGCCCTCTGGCTCCTCGTCCTCGTTCCTTCCTCTGCTCTTGGAGAAGGAACAAAGGATGAGGAAGAAATGAAGGTCCGGTGCGTCCTCTGCTGTGACGGCCCCGCAGGGAGCCGCCGGTGGCTGCAGGGCGGCTGCGGCGGGTGCCGAGCATGGACGGTGGTGGCATCTTTCGGGGACCTGAGCTCAGGGGAGCCCCGCACCCTGGCGTGCTGGGACCGCCTGCCAAGCACCCTGGCCCGATGCCACGGAGGGGAGGAGGGGAGGCTGGAGGGCCTGGTGGGGCACCTACCACATCTGGTACAGGAAGTCAGACTGCAGCGGCCTCTGCCCCTGGCACAGCTCCAGGGCCGCTTTGTTGAGCCTGATGAGGACATCTTCTCGCTGGTTCTCCTCGGGGAGAATCATTGCTGCCTGGCGGGGTCACGGGCACCATGAGCAACCCTGGTGCCCAGGACACCAAGGGGTCCCTGTGTCCTCTGGTGATGGGCACCATGCTATGAGGGCAGGCGTGCGGGAGGACATGTAGCCACGGGCGACCTGTCTGGGGTGCCTTGTGTGGGAGCCTGGGACCTCCTCCTTCAGAAACCTGCTCCCACAAACCCCTTTTGCAAGGTTTGCCAGGATCACAGAGGGCGCCCCCCCACCCCCTCCGGCACCACAGGCGCCTAGCCGCCTGAGACAGAGAGAGAGGACCCCAGAGACGGCTCTTTCTTGGCCCACCGGGGCAAGAGGCACCGCGGGGCCCT